TCATCTTCAATTGAATGCTAAAACATTGAATGAAGGTAGTTGGGAAATTGTAATTTTTTAAAAAATTTGGGTAAATATGGTGAGAATGGTTAAAATAACTTAAGTTAGGTTAATTCTCCTAAATTTAGATTAAGAGTAATAAGATGGATTTATAAAAAAAAAAAGTAAGGGTAAATATGTCAATTTGTAGGAAAAAACCTACTAAAAAAGGAAAAAAAGAAGTTGTTGCAAGTAATGTGAAGCACCCATTTAAGGAAAGTGTTGCGAGTAATCCGAAGCGGAGGGAGTATTTTGAATATGAATCATTGGAATCGGTTTTGGAATAATAAGTTTTGAATTTATTGGATTAATTATTGGAATTGGTTTTAAAAGCATGTTTGCAAATAAAATTAAGTTTACACTATCTTGCACTTATCGTACTTAGCATAATTTGCTAATCCGTATTTCTTATTTGTTTTGGTTCGCCCTTTTACCGTAATGGTTAGCAGTGTTGACTATCTTTAGGTGGAGTCATGAATGAGCATTTGGGAGTCCCGGGATTTGCTTCACCTAGTTTAGGAATGTTGGTCTTGTCTTTATTTTTGAGCACTCATAACTGATACTATTTTTAGAAGTATTAATAAAAGAAATTTGAGTTTCCATTGCAAGTTTTGCTGTTTAGTTAGGTATTTTGAGTAGCCTCGCGTAATCACGCGGTGATGATATGTCCAATTCTATCTCTATGGTATAATTATACGTATTATACTAGTGTAGGGAATATTTCAAGCGCTAACCCCTAGCTTGAATCCCACTGTGATCATACACTAAAGTACGGTGGCGTCCAAAGGGAAAGAAGATAGAGCAAAAGAGTCGCCAACAAGTTTTTTAGGAACTTGTAAACCGTTCACGATGTGAAGGTTACACCCCTTAACGATCCAAGAGATCGTCAACTCCATAAGGTCTGGAACCAAATAAGGGTTCGGGGATGAAGGTACAAATCCAACCTAAAAGAGATTGAACCTGCCCTAATAATAGGCCTCTACTTTATTCAGATCGTATTCATGTGCGCTTTCTAATTAACATGCAATCAATAAGATTAACCCTAAACCTGTTTAATCTGTGTTGGTTGAATTTAATGCACAAATAAACTATTATTGGCGATCACTTGAAATTATAATCACAATTAACCCTAAACAAGATTATTAAATATCTTATTAAGCGTGATTACAAATACCAATTCCCTTTAACATGCAATAAAAGGTGTGATCAAGCAATAAATAATAAATATCATCAAGCAACATAATAATAAAATAATAATAATAAAATCATGATCATAAAATTATAACAATGAAATAATCATCATAATAACAATCATATTAACCATAATAATAATCATGTTAATCATAATAATAATAATTATATAATTATAATCATAAAAAAAACAATTATAAAAATAATCATAAATCATGTTAAAGCATAATAAAAATAGCAAGATCCTAGGCATGATACTAACAAGATTAATAACAAACCCTAGCATGTCACTAAGCAATAAAAATCAAATCTTTAACCCTAACATGATACTAAAAATCATAAATATTAGGAAGAACATAGGAAGCATCGTAACAATCATATTTAATATTAAAATTACCCTAGACATGATACTAGGAATATCATAATAACAATAAAAACATGATTTCTACATCATAACATCAATAAAAACCATTAAAATACTTACTTTGATGCCTCGTACCTCTTTCTAATAACAAAATACACACGTTAGTAACTTCAAGGAAAATAATAAAACAAACAATTAAATTAAATAATTGAAAGAGAGATTTGGGACCAAACCCTCAGAAATTAAACCTTTCACGTCTAGGGCGAAGGCAACTTCGAATATGGCTAGGTGTATCTAGATCTTGCGAATGCGGAATTCTGTATTTGAAAAGCTATTTTTAGAAGAGAGAGAGATGGATTAATTGATTAAGAAAATCTTGATGAGAATTAGCAAATGAAAACTGATTGTAGGTGAATGAAAACGGAGTTTTTACGTCGTTATTTATAGAGAAAATCAGCCAAAAAGATAAATTAACAGAGCAGAGTCCTGGCGCAACTGAAACAGAGCTGGCGCCAACCCTGGCTAACTGGCGCCAGGCGCCAACACTAGCGCCAGGCGCCAGGCCTGTTTTTGACGCGTTTTCGAAATCAGATAAATTTGCCGTACTGGAGGATAAAATCGTATCTTTTCCTCGAAAATGCTTTTTGATTTTAATTAAAACTCTGAAAAGTCAACAAAAGTCAATTTATCAATGCTAATTGAATCAGGAATGAAAAGAACCTTCTAGAAGAATCTAGAATACTAAAACCATTCCTAATTGCATTAGGAATGATAAATCATATTAGACCCTCCCCTAGATCATTGGGCCGTATATAAGGCTCAAACCGGGCCCATTTCAGTAAATTGGTCATAACTTCCTCAATATTCATCGGAATTGAGCATATAATATATCGTTGGAAAGGTCTTGTCAAGCCCCATACAACTACACTACTATTGGACCCATATCATGGACCAACCAAACTGGATTGGTTGTTTTCTTAAAATAAGTTTTCAAAAACAGAGAGAAGAGAAAAGAAATTTAAACTATCCGCAACACTAGACTTTCCACACTTTCACTTCATTCGATTATGATTCGACGCGAAAGGTACTCATCACTAGGTTTGGTTTTGGGGAGACACAAATGGGTGTCTACAACTAGTATTTCCGTAAAGGGAGTTTTGGGGGTGTTACAAGTGATACAAGAAAAGGTAAATCCATTTTAAATTAAAAAAAAAGAAAGAAAGAAAGAACTAGGAGAAGAATAATTAGTAAAAAAAATGAGGGAGTTTGGTTTAATAAAGGAAGTAAGTTGTGAGAGTTAAGCAAATGTATACCTATAATTTTCAAAGAAAGAGTAAGTAGACAAGGTCAAGGGAAGAGAAAGAGAGGAGGGCTTTGGGACAATAGAAGGAGTAGGTGAGAACAAAGCATTTTAAGAGACCATTTTTAGTATTTAATTTAAATACAACTGTCACAAAGGAGATAAATGAGAGAAATTAGGAATGTGAAAATAAATAAAGGAAAAACAAGGAGGGTGTTCAAAAAAGAAGACGGAATGAAGATCACTTTAATTAGAAGACTAATTTTTTAGAATATAATCAAAGAAGTGATAAAAAGTACTTTTTGAAAAGATTCTAAAATTTAATAAACCATATAGGTTAAGTGTAAACATGTAAAGGAAGATGGAAAGGGAGAGAAGAGCAAGTGAGGGTTGGAGAGGTGGTTTGAACGCAAGTAAAGATTAACTTAATGAATTTTGTAAAATTATAAAGTAAGAAAAGATGGAGTGATGGAAGGAAAGAGTGAGAAAGAGAGATGTGTTCACTTAATTAATTGCCAATTTTATGTGCTCAAACCCAATATTAATGTGATACTTTGTATAAAAGAAAATTGATTAATAATATATTTAGGAAAAAAATCAACCTTAATGTAAAATTGTGATAGAGGGGGAGAGGGAGTAGGGGGGAGAGGGAGTAGGGGATAGAGAGAGAGAGGGGGGGGGGGATGAGGGAAAGGGAAAGAAAAATAAGAGACATGGAAGAGAGCAAGAGAGGGGTAGGGATAGAGGGATGTGTTGTTGGAGAAGAATCCAAGTTAGAGAAGGGATGTGGAAGAGAGAGGGGCCAAGAGAAAGAAAAGGGCCTACGTATAAAGGGAGCAAGTGTACACCACAACAAAAGTGACATAAAGTAACAACAATTGGTAAAACTTTTAAAGTTATAAGGTTAATCAATAATTGAAGTTTATTTTTCAATCATTGAATTTCAATTTTAATATGGCAAATTAGATGTTGCCAATCGTCCAATCTCCCTAATCGCAACACCCAGTTTACAATCTTCCTATCGCCTAATCGCACTACTTAATTTGCTAATCTTCCAATCACCATGATCACACCACCCATTTTGTTATTCCTCTAATTGCCTTGATCACACCACTTAGTTTTGCCAATAATCCTCTTATCACCCTGATCGCACCACCCAGTTTGTTAATCCTCCAATCACCTTGATTGCACCACCCAGTTTGGCAATCCTCCAATCGGCATGATCTCAATACCCAGTTTACCAATCCTCCAATTGCCTTTATTGTACCACCCAATTTGCCAATCCTCTTTATCGCACCACACAGTTTTCCAATCATCCAAACGCTCTGATTGTAACACTTAGTTTGTCGATCTTCTAATCACCCTAATCAAAACACCTAGTTTAAGTTTACGAGGTGAATGCATGTATAGTGTTACAAAAGAATATAACCCTTTTGATATTTGACTCCTAAAGCTGAAATGTCTTGTCTCCTGAATATATTTCTTATAGCACTCATAATTATTAACCACTAATGCTTAGATGAATAAGTCATGTAAGCCTCAATATAGCTCAACCTACTATATAAATAAACAATCTATGACAAGTAACATTAATCAATTAGTTTTAGTCACAGTCTCCATTAATATTCAGATTCGATTCTAATTAATAATAAGGATTTTTGACATTTGCTACCACTAAAAACGCCTCTCTTCAGATTCAGTATCAATTTTTAAAATTGGTACCGAATCTGAAGAGAGGCGTTTTTAGTGGTAGCAAATGTCAAAAAAAATCCTAATAATAACTATTTTTTGACACCAAAGCGTTTAACAACTCATTAACTTTCGAATAAACAATTTCACAATGAATAATACCGCTTTTAAAACCGTGAGTAATTTATTAACATTATTTAGCTAATCAACGCACATATATTACATTAATTGATCAGCAAAACAATTCATTCCATCAAATTTCAGCTTTGTTAAACGCTCAACAAAATGTTAAAAATAATCTATACATACAACAACGACTAATTACATATTATTCACCGAGTATTGATCACCAAATTAGGGAATTATGCACGCGGGCCAATAACTAGTAAAGTACAAAGATATCCTGGCATGCTCGATGGCTGGATACTAGGGATTCAAAATTTGAAATCCCGTCTACAAAGGTCAAATACCACTATTACTAGTGCTTCAATTCCCACATTCAACCTATTTCATTCATTCTACAAACTTTCAAGTTTTCACTCTCCTCTCAAAATCTCCCTTTCATTCTTCATCTTTTAACAATGGCGTTGCCTTCCAACTTCGACGAAAATGCTCCTGCTGTCGAAATCACCATTGATTACCTCTCTTCCGAAGATCTCAAGCCCTTATCTGACCCCGATACCCAGATTCAGGTTTTCCCTCTGTCTCTCTATTACTTCAATCGTTTAGTTTTCTGCCATTTTCTTTGATTGCATTAGTTTTGTTTGTTTGTTTCGGAAGATTTGTTGAAAAATTGAAAACAATAGATCTGATTTTAAGAAATAATTCGACCCTTTAGTTGAAATGGGTGTATGAATTTGCAGGGTTTACTTGAGCGTTTGGAATCGAAGGATTGGATTAAGGTCTGTGAATCTTTGAATGATACTAGGAGATTGGCTATTTATCACTCTACTCTTTTGCTCCCAATGTTGTAAGTTTTTGAATTTTAATTTTACTTATTAATTCTTGGAAATTCTGAATACGTTTCAAAAATAGTGTGCTAATGTAAGTTTTGGGAATTCAGGGAACCGGTTGTAGTGGTGTTGGTGAAGGCTATGAAGAATCCAAGAAGTGCTTTGTGCAAGACATCTATTATGGCTGCTGCTGATATCTTCGTTGTGTATCGAAATAAGTTGCTGGAACCTGATTTCTCTGGTGGTTTTGACAATTTGGTAAAACCTCGTTTATTCTCTCTTGCTCCTACGTGCATCTTTATATAAGAATGGCTGAATTGTGTAGAGTTGGACCTTTTATCATATGTTTTAACCATGTTATTCCTTGCTCGATGATCTAATCTTCCAATTTTAGATTAATTTGAGTGGAGTTTGGTCGACATATAAGTTCGTTAACTTTATGAAAGACTTTAAAATTTTGGGGGCAATGTTTTTATTTCTCGTCCATGATGTTATTGGTCTTTTCTCTGGTAATGGTGAATCATCTATTGTTTGTTCAAGTTTAAACTTGTTTACATATGAACTTGCTTGAATTGGATCATTGCGTTTTTCGATTCCCTTATCTATTTATTTGTCTAGTTATATCTGTTTTGTTATGCAAATTACTAGTGAGTTGAGAGTTGAGACAGAACTCAATGATGTCTTGTGCCAAAAGATATGCCGTGATGAATTGTCTCTAAGTCGATTTTTATTGTTTGAATTTGATACATGTGAAATATGAAATAATTTAGTATATGATAATTAAGCTATGGTCTGTGTATACATATTTGATGACTAAGAGGATTGTATAATTGCAGTGATGTTTAGTTATTAACAACATTGATTTGGGTTGCTCTTGAAATATGAGTTGCTGGTTGTTGCTAGATATATAATGCTCTAAATAGAGCTTGATTTAAGTGTCAGTTATTAGACTATGAGTGCACGCCTTCCACGTTATAAGAAACATACAAAGGGTAAAAAAAACTATGCATACCCACACAGATACCCTTATGGTCCCCGCTTTCTGGCACCTTAACTAAAAAACAATAAACAAGGTCCACTGCCTTATTTTCCATCCACTTATACTCAACAAAACCCACCATCAATTTTCTCCTAAACTTATGGGCCCAAGAGAACTGTGAAGTTTTTTGTGGGACAGAGGGGGTATTTGTTACTATGATATATTCTCTTCTTCTTATATGGATACCTTCCTACATTGTTTATACTATTTTACAATGAATAGTATTCCGTCATGTTGACCACTCTTTGTCTCCTTGTGAAAATTAAAGATATGTCTTGGATATTCTTGTGATTGAGATTGGATTCATTATGAATAGATGCTAACAAATTCATCTTACATGTAAATAAGAAATTAGAAACGCACATAGGGAATATGTTATTTGGGTGCTGATACCAGTTACTTCGATTCTTCTTGAACTAAGGTAGTTTTAAACAATTAGTTAATAGTTACTATGGTGTTTTAACAAGTCTATACTTTAGCAATCAAATATATTTTTTCATTGGATAACTTTCTACGAGTCCATATAAAGTATATAAGATATAGTTCTATGATACAACATTCTTATGTTTCCTAGAAAGCTTGTATAAAGTCTTATTTCTTATTAGCAGGCATGTTTAGCTTAGGTGTGCTATTTGATACCTTAGGTCTGGTCAACTTGCTTTAGAATTTTTATTTATATTATCATTGTTGCTTATCAGTTACTCCCTTTGTCTTGTTTGCCCTAGTTTCTAATTGGTTTTTATTTTCGAGTTTGCCCTTAGTTTAAAAAGAATATAAGAGATCATTTCTTTACTCTCACACATAGGCTTTGTTCGATTCAACTAATTTTTCAAACAAAATTTTTTCAACTTCAGGTTGTTTTGCTTGAAAATATGTGTAAACTCTCTCTCTCTCTTGTTCTTGTGTGTAAAATTGTTTTTAAAAAATTAATTGTATTTTTTTGTTTGCAAAAAATTACTATTTTGTTTGCACTTATCTTGACATGATCTGTTTGATATTTGTCATTTAAGTTAAGATAATTTGAACCTAATAGCAACAAAGTGGTCAGATGGTCGAGCATTGGTTCTGAAAACTGATCATAGAATGTTCTGAGAAATTTATAATCACAAGGGGCAGGTACGGGTTGGGGTTAGCTAAGATAGAACTAAAAATCCATAATCAATAAGAGTATTGGCTTTTCAGTTTTTAAGATTATGATACCTAGTGAGTGACATTCAACTTTTTAATTGACTATGCACTTATAAATATCAAATCCAATGGTTTCCTATGTTACTCGGACTCTTCATTTCACCTCACGTACCCGTGTCAGACCCTCGACACTTGGACATGGGTGAGACACTTCATTTTAGTTCAAAATCATTGAAATTTTTCTAAAAATAGCCGGGTCGGACACTTGGACACATATTCGTGTCGGACATGGGTACCCGAGTCCAAGTAACATAGATGGTTTCTGGGTATGAAATTGTATCAAGGAGCTTTCGTACATGTTACTGTATGTGGTTTTTATTTGCTTATACTACATGTTAATGGTGTTTAGCTGTCTTGATGCTGCTTAATACCAAGAGTTGTTCTGTGTTCACAGACGACTCACTATTGTACCGCTTATTCTGTCTGTTGCATTCATGATCATGCATACTACAAAATTTTTTAGTATAGCATATCGTGTAGAATGTCATTCAGTTTTATTCTTCTTGTAATCATTTAGTTTATTGCTTTTTAGCCAGCACCAGGAGTGGTCTGTATTGTCTGCTTGTGATATAGCCATATAGATCAAGAGGAATATGAATAGAGGATTATTCTGTTTTCCTGCCTTTAGGATTTGGGTATTTTCTTTCTTATGTAATTTGATTTTTCATGGAGGGGAGCTTTTTGTTGCACATAGTTTCAGATGGTAACAAAAGCCAATGTCTTAACATGATAAATTCTTTTATGATTGCTTGAATTGACAGAAGGCTTATAGACTAAGATTCTTCTGGAATCTGTGTCCTTTTAAAAAATGTGGTTTCATCTCTCTGGGACTTTAACGAAGTTGTTCCATCCACAAGAAAATTAGTTACTAGAGCAATTGTTAGGTTGGGCCAACAGATTTATTCTGTAAAAGATATGGCAAGTTGAAATTTGATTCAATTCAGCAACCAATATTCACACCTTTTCTCAATATGTAAAGAAATTCGTTAATGATTCTTTCATGGGAAATTCTACATAGTACCTTTGTACTTATGTCATTATAGGGAGCATGTGTACCCTTCAATTTTGTCTTAATGAATCACTGTGAACACTGAACAATTAACAAAAAAGATAAGGTAGATAGCTTTTAGTGGCTAATGTTGCTGGAATTACATTGCTAGGTTTGCAAGCATATGCTATAAATTGGAACTAACCTTCTACACACTTTTGTTTGCCCATTTGCTTCTTCACTCACAATTCTCTTTCTTTTCACTCAAACTTTCTTTATTGCAAAGACCAAAACAGTAAGGATTTCATTGATGGCTTTGTTAGTTATCCATGTCATCTCCACCAATTTTTTTAATCATCTTTCTCTCTCCTTAACTTTTGCTTCACTTAAAGCATTTATCCTTGTGCTGAAGGATCTTGGTCATCGGTAGAGGTTATGACCTTTTTTTCATGCACTAGAAGATGTTGAGGGGGCAGAGTAGGAGGGAAGGGAGGCAGACTACTGTCATAATCTCCCAGGTTCAAGAAAATAAGAAGCTGAATGTTAATTTGGGTGGTTTCACTTTGATTCATGAAGACAAAATTGGAAATGGCTCAAGTACATGAGTACCACGTACAATTTTCTTCTATATTTTTGATGTGTTAGCTGTGTGATTTTTTTTTTTTTTTTTGGGAGAAGGGGAGGGGGGGTTGCGTTAATGTCTACACTTTTACTGCCTTTACTAGTTTATCGGAGTTATAATTCCATACATCTATACTTGTGTTATTTGATCCCTTGTTCTGCTTTTGCTCTTACGTATCTTTCTCAATACTCTGTCCCACATGCCCCATCTGAAATAATTGAAACAAAAATAAGAGTATAGGCAGCAACTAAAGGATATGGGATCTTGTCAATTTTTTTTTTTTTTTGTTTTCAATCTGGTACATGCAGGCTAGATTGGGCTGCCCTGTCTCAGAGTATCAGCCCAGCCCATTAAGACCTCTTTGCCCCAGTCCCCACCCCATCTTTCTCTCAAGCCTTCTCCAAGAATGAGATCCTTGGTCCCCCCTGTAGAAATTGGGAAGTGATGGCACTAGGCCACGAGGGCCTTCAGCAAATCTTATTTGTTTGACGGTGCTTTCTATTTATTTTGAGATTCATTTGTAAAACATTTTAGTTACTGATGTCACTAGCAGGAGCTTCGGCAAATCTTATCTGTTTGATGGTGCTTTCTATTGATTTTAAGATTCATTTATCAAAACTATTTTAGTTTTATGTATAATTCTTCTGTCTCTGTATCTTAATTTACTGCTAATTTCCCATGATGTGCCCTCAGCTGCTACAACTTTTGCTGAAAGCATCTCAAGACAAGCGGTTTGTGTGTGAAGAAGCAGAAAAGACCTTGAAAACACTGGTTCAGTCTATTACCCCTCTTCCTTTGCTTCATAATCTTCAAAAATATGCCCGCCATTCCAATCCAAAAGTCAGGGCTAAAGCTGCTGTATCCATCTCCAATTGTGTATCTAGAATGGTAACATCTCATTTTGTACTGTTTGTGGATATGGTTATGTTATTCTTGCTGCGTTTCACTTATCTGGTAATATTGACATAGTATAACAAATTTCTTTTGATTACAGAGCTTCCAAGATTTACAGGACTTTGGGTTGGTTTCACTGGTTCAAGTAGCTGCTAATCTGCTGAATGACAGGCTCCCAGAAGCCAGAGAAGCTGCACGTAGTATTATTATGTCAGTATACAAGTCATTCACTGAAAATGAAGATCAAAAGCCAGAGTCGTGGCAAATTTTTTGTGAGTCTAATCTACCAGTACTTCATGGACAATCCATAATCAAAATCACAACTACTAATTAGGCATATAGCTGCTACAGGCAGCAGCAGCAGCAGCAGCCGTGTACATAAAGTATGTCTGATCTTCTCTGAAGATGCCTTCAGAAAATTTAGGTCCTCATCAGTTTGTTTGTGATTTACTAGTTGATGTTAAGCTGTATCACGTGCTTGCTACTAGTGTGGAAAATGCGTATCTCTTTCAAATCAAATGTAATAGAGTTTTTTTTTTCTAAGGTGATACAGTCATGTATTGTAACCCCTGCTGGCATGGTGTGCCCTTTTTTGATGTCTATCTTCGTTCCGGCATTGTTATAAACTCCTTATCATATTACTTTTATAATATGAGAACATGGATTTTGGGGCGGAAATTTGAATGTTAGTATTCATTGAATATATTAATATTTGTTTGAATATTATACACCATACATTCTAAACTAACAAGAGTGAGTTTTTTTTTTTTTTTTTTTTTTTTTTTTTTTTTTTTTTTTGAATAGCAACAAGAACTTGTTTAACTATTCTATAATGTGTGCACACTATATGCTGTTTGTTTAGGGGAGTAAGAAGGGAGTGACAGAAGAAATGCAGTGCTTGTTTAGGGGGATGTGTATTAGAAGGGGATTATTGGGGATAGGGATAATACACCAAATTGGATGAGGGGAAAAGTGAGGATAAGGGATAGAAAATGGGTTTTAAAAAATAAATTACCCTTATTGAATAAGGAGAAAAGTGAGGATAAGTTTGTAATTTTATCGCATATCCTAAGTTATTTCTCATATATACTCACATACCAAATTGGATTAACAATTATTTAACCTATATCACCTATTAATTTCCTATCTTTATCCTCCCTCTTTATTCTATTCTTCTTGTCAAACGCTTTATAGGAGTAGAATAGAAGTGGTTTTAAATAACATTACAACTATGCATAAGGGAGGCTTGTAGGTTGTAAGGCGGATGAGAAACTTTATCAGCTTAAGGTTTGCAACATGGATGCATGAAACTTGGTGGAAGAAGTTGTAGAAGAAATGCCACATGTAATGACGGGTGGGTGTGTTAAACAGTTAGGGTCCAAATAGAGGTATCAAAACTGACCCGATTCGAAAAAATCCCATCTATTTTGAATTGTAACCAATCACATTTGACCCAAGAAATTCAGGATCCCGATCTGAAAACGAGTTGAACTCACTCGAATTCGAATTCAACATGATTTGAACTTAATCCAGCATCGATTTGACCTTGAACTTAACCCGAAATCGATTTAACCCGACTTAAACTCAAACTAAACTAGTATCACTCGACTTAGACTAAACCTGACCCAAAAAATACTTTTTTTTTTAAAAAAAAATAATTTATTGACCCAAAAAAATACCTAATTCAATCTAATTTGTTTTGACTCAAAGACCTGATTTTAAACTGACTTGATATTGACTCAACATGAATTTAAGCCAATCATATTTCAAATCAACCATAATTTAAATCCTACCTATGATTTTTAACCAACCATGACTTTAAATTCGACTTAAAGAACTCTAACTAATATCTTATATTGAATTAGTAATTAGCTAGTAAGTGTTATGGCTAAGTGAGCTTGGCCAGAAATGTGTTGTAAGACACTACTTTAACCATCCTAGTGATCTCTTGCATTACAACCTTAAAAGGGTTTGTTACCAAATTAATCTTTCTGATTGTAAATTCATCAAATAAGACCTTTTATAATATCCACATGACAAATCATGAATATACGAAATTGAGAAGACACCTGGCCAATTTATTCCATCATCAAATGAGGCATTCCCCATGTTGGTAGATGTTTCAGGATCATGGCGATGTGGTTGTTGTCTAGGATTTGGGAATTCATATTCCATTTCTAGATCAATTAGATTTTCACGGTTCTCTCTTCAGGGAATAATTTCTCTTACATTTTCATCATCTTGTCGTCTCTTACGTGTAGGACGTTTAGGAGACAAGATCAAAAAATGGTATGGGTTAGCATGTCTTTGTAATTAGACTTTCCTCCTGTTATTTTTTTTGTGTTCCGCCCAATTAATCTTTTGGGCTATTTTGGATTTGGGGATCAGTTCTGAATGGTTAGGTTTCAATCCCCTCCCAACTGTTACTTTTCTCCTATTGTGCTTGCCAAGAAACATGTTGGTGCTAAAATGCAAAGAAGTCAATAATATCCTTGTGTAATACATGCCCATAAAAACTGTTGGCCTTTGAGTTCGAGACCTCGCTAGGTGTACTTATAGTCTTCTAATTAATGATCACAAAAGCAACATTAAAAGTAAAAGACAAATTAATTAATCATTAAACGCAAATAACATACAAGTAGGAATTTAGAGAGATAAACAAAATGACAATCAAATCAGATCCAAGGAGGAAGAGTTACCTCCATGATTAATTACAATCGAAAATTTACTAATCTCTCATAGAGTTCAAATATTCTATTGCTATTGTTATTACTATTGCTACAGTGATATAGGCTACTGAACCAAAAATGTTAAGGAATTAAAAAATCCAGAATTTTTAAAACAATGTAAATTGCAGTTTAATTTTATAATTGATTGTCCTTTATTCTGTTGCTTCTTGCTGTATCTATAGAACTCTCTAATGACAGTTACATATCATGGCGTAACGGTTAGCTTCCATTTTTTTTTTTTCCTAACAGCAATAATCTATTTTTCTTTTTGTCACTCAAAATATATGAAAAAGTTTATTATTCTTAGGATTTTTGCTGAACCACTACAATTTACTTTGCACTTATTGTAAATAAATACTATTTAAGTTATTTTTGTCCCTTAAAAAACTACTATTATTTGAAAATTTGTTTGACTACCACTACCATTTAATGGTAGTTGTTAAAAAAAACCATCTTATTGGGCCGGTTTTGGGGTTTTTTTTGTATGTCCTGCGGGAGAGTTACAACACCAAGACTGGTTTCGGGCCGCCTATACTTGCAAAAACATGGAAGCTCCAGATGGTTGGAGTTCCGCCTCTAACGGTCGAGTTAGTAAACGCTCGGAGTGAAAACGTGCGGAAAGTAAATATCTTCTCGAATTCCGAGTTCAGCTGTTTTATTTGTTTTTGAGAATTATAAATGATGTAATGATTGTAAGGTTGTCCCAATAATTATGGGAATTTTTCTATTTATAGGGTCTTAGAAAGTTGTGCCCTTGTTCTAGGGTTTGATGACCTAGGAACTTGGGCTATGCCGTTTTGCAACGGTCTCGAGAAATAGGCTTTGATGGCAGCCATTTCCAGGATGGGTATCTTCCTGTCACATGTCATGCCCTGGTTGGTCCATTTGGAGGCCTTTCCAGGGTGACTCGTTTCATGCTCTGATGGGACCACATGGCAGGGTAAAAATACTCAAAACATTTGCCCCTCACAGGGATGATGTGGCATGCCATGTGACGCCTATGACAAGTGTCCAGCTGGTTTTTTTTTGCTGTTTTATCTGGAGTAAACATTAGGGTTTTCACTCTAAATTTTGATTCCTCTATAAACATGAGTTGACATGAAGGAATTATGTCTTCGATAAGTGCAATTACTAGATATATTAAGGATCACTGTTATGGAGATAATAAGTTCGTTCTATTGGGTCATCTTTGTTAGTTGCTAGATATGATAAATGATCTTTAAGCTAGTCAAATAGTCTAAAGCCCTATAGAATGGATTCTATGAGGTCACAAAACAAGGTTATTGGGTTAAACAAGTGAGAGACCCATTAATGGGCTTCATGAGATCATGACAAACCATAAGGAGTGTTGGGCTAGAATAGTTTGATTAGGATAAGGAGTTTGGGCTTGACATGGACTCTTATTTAGAGATATGATCTATAAATAAGATCCATGACTTAGATTGAAATAACAATGAAAAGTCAGTTAATTGCAACTCAAACAACCAAGTACCAAAACCCTAATCCCCTCTCTCTCACTTACGGCTCTCTCTCTCTCCTCCCCCTCGTCCGTACGGGCGGCTACCAAGGTGGCGCGTGTGGTGGTTCCTGGTTAGTCCGTGTTTCTCTTTTCTCCGTAGTAGAAGGTTAATTGAAAAGGTTCAATTACGACTAACTAGCATTAGTGGAGGTTTAATTTGTGTCCATGGACCAAGTAGAGGAATCACGTTTGGGGTTCTTTCTTCTTTGCCTCTCGTTTGTTCTTGCTTGATTGCTAGTGGATTCACTCTTCAACGGTATTATTAATTGTTTTTTACTTGTTATGCATTGATCTTGGTGTTTAGATGCTTATGAATATGATTTATGCAATTCCGCTTATAGTATCTGATAAGTGACTTTTATGTCACTTTTAGTGTATTTTTATGCTTATTTTCCGGTTTATTTTCTAATATTTTCCCTAGTTTTATACTTTATTTCGCTTATTTTCTTATTTTTCTTATTCGTTCTCTATTTTGAGTATTTTTGAATTTTTATTAGTTTTTAGATTATTTTTGTAGTTTTAGTTAATAATTTCCCTCTTCTCTCGTTTTATTTATTTTCTTTTCTTTTAGTTTCTAGCTTGTTTTAATTTTTTTTATTTCATTTAATTTTATTATTTCTTTAGTTTTAGCATTTTATTTTACTTTATTTATCTTATTTTATTTTATTTTATCTTTTGATAATCCCGTCGTGTTATTTTTGGTTGTAGGTGTTTTCAGGTCCTTGGTCGATCGAGTTCAAGGTCCGAGAATTGAGTCAAACAACATGCTCCAAGTTGTCCTAGCTGCAATCAACCACCACGCAGCCACCTCCTTTCATCCTCCACCACACCATTTCCCCAGCTCCCTCACGCACCAATCAACCACATGACCACCACTGCTGCCCCCTTTCACCACACAAACCAGCAGTCGCACCACCACCATCACCCAACAATTTCACCCACCTAACAACTCCCCTGCTCAAGCAATAACAACAGCCACCACTCACCTCCAATACACCAAGCAGCAGCATCACTTGCCCTCACGCACCAATCAACCACCTGACCACCATCGCCACCGTTGCTGCCTCCAATCAAGAATTAAGGAAGTTTAATGCCTATTTTTGCTAGCATATGGAAATCGAGATTCAATTCAAGAGGAAATCGGCTTTGAAAGGTTAAATTGGTTCATTTGCAGGTAATTACACCCACCAATATCCGGTAATATCTTTCCTAGCTCTTTCTCTAATGGTTGGTGACTCGTTGGACTTGTGTTGGTTTGTTGGATTGATTTCTTTCTTTTCCCCTCCCATGGATTATTTTGTTTATATTTGAGTATATTGTCTCACTCAAGCTTGGGGGGAGGGTATTCTATCATGTTTGGTGGGATGTTGATTCATTTATGCCATGCACTTGAGTATATGCATTTCCATGTCTTTTCTTTTATTTTGAAAAATCCAAAAAGATCTTTGTTTACAC